ACAAGAAGTGGCTACACCATGAGAAAATACAAAGGGAAAGGGAAGAGAAACATGGGGAAAAAGTCTAGGAACTGTTAGAATTAACCAGTGACCACAGGAAGATTACTGGATACATGATCAATAAATAAAAAGCAAGTCCATTAATTTTGCATTTCTATGTGCCACCAACAAACTATGAGAAATATCTGGAAATAAATCTAAGAAATGATGTCCACAGAAACCTATAAAATGCTGAGAGATTATACAGAGAGCTTAAATAAATGAAGACTACCCCAAATTCATAGAGTGGGATATTATAAATACATTAACTCTTCCTAGATTTATCTACTAATTCAATGTAATTTCAGTCTAGATTTCAACAACTGTGTAGAAATTGACAAGATAATTCAAAATTGAACACAGAAATGCAAAAGGCCAAAAACAGTCAAAACAAAGTCAGAAGACTTACACTACCAGATACAAAGATTAACATAAAAATACAGTAAGACAAGGTGCAACTGGCACCAAGTACATAGACTAATGGAATAGAATACAGAGTCCAGAAAAAAAATACCTAGAAAGACAGTCAACTGATTCGTGAGCAAAGTGATGTTTCAGGGCAGGTGAGAAATAGTCAACAAATGGTGCTCACTCAACTGGATAAGTGTAAGGGAGAGAAAAGAAAAAAAACCTTGCCTTTCACATACCATATGCCAAATGAAAATTACAAATACAAAAATTCCAGGTAAAACAATGCCAGAAAACAAAGAAGTTCTTCAATTCTTCATGACTCTGGAATAAGCAAAGATGTCTTCAGCAGGACAGAAGAGTTAGACAAAAGATAACAGATAACCTATTAAAATGAGATGCTTCTATTCAAAGGAAATCATTGGCACAGAAAAAAGTAAGCTACAGAGTGGTTTGTAAGAAAGGAGGGAGGATTTGTATCTATAATATATAAAGAAGTCCTTCAAGTCAATAAGAAAACAACAGAAAATGAACAAAAGATTTGGACAATATCTGAATGACGAATAAGCATGAGATCGTGACCAACAGCATTAGTCATCAGGACATGTCAAGGGCACCACAAAACACTACACACTGTTCAGGACAATGTTAAGTGTTGTCAGGAATGTGGAACCACCATAACTGAGGTGCAAGATTGACTGTTGATGGAAACCAAACTGGTATGACCACAGTCTCCACTGGAGCTCTGGCTGTATGAACATGTGACACATTAACTTCACTCCTTGACTAACTGAAATGCAGATGTATGTTCCCACATACAAAAACAATGCTAGCAGCACTACTCTTAATGGCTACCAACTGGAAATGGCCCAAATGTTACCAAATGCTAAACAGACTGCGAAACACTGAGCGTCAGTGAAGGCAAATGAGCTACCAGCCACACAAGCAGAGCCTCACAAAACAATGCCAAGGGAAAGAAACCAGGCAGATGCGAGCACATTATGTTCTAAATCAGACCAAATTCATGGTTTGAGATGTCAGAGTAGCAGAGACTTTTGGGAGAGGTGGGCAGAGTGACAAGCAGAGGGGAATGTGGCTCCTGAGGTGTCCATAACATTCTATCCTTGATCACAGAGAGTAGGGCCAAGCGGATCAATGGACAGTGAGGACACCTGGGAGCTGTATACTTACGACTGTTTTTGCCTCTGTACTTTTATCAGAGTTTAGGTAAAAACATCACTGTCCTTATTCAACACCCATAAAGAGCTGTTATAAACTTAACATACTCAAAACTCCTTTTCTCTATGCTGGACTGTGATCCCAAAAGAATCAAGGGAAAACAAGAAGATGTGGGAACAAAAAGAACTGGGTTCTCAGAAGAGTCTAAGAAACACAGCAGCACTGTGTAACATATGGCAACATGCACTACCTCAGGTTTCAGAAGCAATGAGCAGCAGTGGAGACTGGGATGAATGAGAGTGTGTATGCCCCTCTCCAGAGGACCAGCACTCAGTCTCAGCCAAAGTCACCAGAGGAAACACACAGAGTCCTGGACACACATCTGTTAGGCCAGCCTGTGTCTAGCAACTGAAAGAAAAATAATAAAAACTAAGCATACAGTACAAAGGCACCAGCTCCCAAACTCAGTCTTCCATATACCCTAACCCCAGAGGACCCAATGCAGTCACGCCCCTGGCAGGCACTCAGCATTGGCCACTGTATTGTATTTTTCAACAGAATTGTTTTGTTCAGTTATTACTTTAAGCTTCAGCTTTTCTCTCTTCAAAAGGCAGTGCTTGGCCAGGCGCTAGTGGCTCACGCATGTAATCCTAGCAACTCAGGAGGCAGAGATCAGGAGGACATGGTTTGAAGCCAGCTCAGGACAAATAGTTCACAAGATCCTATCTTTAAAAAATTCATCATTAAAAAAAAGGGTTGGTGTGGGGTGGCTCAAGTGGTAGAGCACCTGCCTAGCAAGTGTGAGGCCCTGAGTTCAAGCCCCAGTACTGCAAAAAAAAAAAAAAAAGGTAAAAAGGTAGTGCTTCTCGTCTGTAAACGGAACTAATACCACAGCTTCATGGAATACTTCACCATTATTGGTTCTCCCTGTCACTTTCAATTTAGTTAACTGAGCTAGAGTGGTCCACAGGGAAGCAATAATGGACTAGGCCTGATGTCAGAGGGGGAGCTGGGAAGAGCAGGAATCTGAAGTCACTGACATGGACTGGAATCCTCAACACTGCCTCCACCAGCTGTGGGAACCTGACCAAACTATTAACTAATTTGAACCACAGGATTTGAATCATCCAAAAAATAAGGACATCCTCCGCTACCCTGGAAAACTGTTGCCGTGTCATCAACCCAGTGCTGGCAGTGTGTTCCTGGGCCTGGACTTCCTGGGAACTTTCTCATCAAGCCCCCATACGTGAGGCAGTTCCTTCTACATGGGAAGACAGAAGCTCAGTGAGGAGATGTCCCAGAGAGCGTGAGTGTTACCCATCACTGAGCAGGCATTAAACCGGGCTGCCAGACTCCACACCCAGGGGTGTTAATGTCCACGCTACATAAATCGACCAGCCCCACACCCAGCAGGGAGAGAGGAGAAGGGCTCATTTCCATCCAATCTCTCTGGATTGCAATCCAGATCCAATCTCTCTGGATTGCACTTTCTTCATTCTGTCCAAAGGGTCATTCCAAGGGCTCTAAGTTCAGCCTCAAGAAGTCACTGGTCTGACCATTCCCAACTCGCAGCAGCTGAAAAGCCGCCTGCCCTCCTCCCAGGCGAGGATTTTAATCATTCACTACAGGAAAAGAGGTCTTAATAGCCAGGAGCAGTCTAGCACAGTAAATGAATGGTTAATTAACACTGCCACAGTGATGACAATGATGCCCTTGGCAGCTGCCCAAGGGCGAAGAGTTTGGTGTGCTCCCTGCTTCCAGTTGGCAACGGTCACCAGGCACGTCCACATCCGCAGAAAACAGCAGAGCCTCTGCCCACCTGGGCATCCTCCCATCAAGGCACAGGGAGAGAACTCCAGGCAAGACAGACAGTGGTGAGAAAGTGTGGTGCCTCCCTATCATCGGGGCTAAGTAACAAAAGACAGGAATTCTCCACTACATACTACATGTACAGGAAGAGTCAAGTGGTCAAAGCCTGGAGGAAGAGGTGAGGAAGAGATTAAAAGGGAAGGGTGCTAGGAGAGGAGGGGAAGTGACCACACACTTGTCAGTGTTGTGAGTGAGGTTCTCATGAATCCTCCCTCAGAGAGAGATTCTCCCCTTTCACAGCTGAAAACACTGAGGCTTAGAGGGAGCTTACTGGAGGTCACATGAGATTGGCCTGCGCCTACGGTCACACACGGCCATGGCCTGATGGATGGAAGCACATTCAGAGCTTTGTGGCTACTCCTCAGCAGTTCTCTAAGATTACTGTCTCCCTGCCCACCCCCCACCCAAGTCAAGATGGAGACAAGACACAGGGGGGCCCAACAAGCCTAGGGGGCCCATTACCCTGAGCCTCCCCCACGAGGAGGCTGGAAGCAACATCCTAAGGACAAGGAAAAGGGAGGTGCCGCTGAGGCTGACATCCGAGGTGGCCAAGGCAGCTGGCAGTGATGTCCACAGAGACTGAGGTCTGATGGTGGTATTTGAAAAGGGACCCAAGAGCCCTGAAGAAAATTGAGAGGTGACTGGAATCCCCTCAAAGCTGTCTCTTGACCCCAATGGAACCATATTTGTTTCTGAAAATGAACAACTGGTGAAACACAGCAGGAGCCAAAGGTCTAGAAGGGGTGGGAGACAAGAAAGGAGCCACAGCAACCTGAGAGGGAAGGCAGAGGACTCAGCTAGAATTGCCAGAGACACCTCCACACAGCAAACCAGCTCTGATGTCTGCAGTGAAATGAGAGCTGGTGACAGATGACACAATTTCCTCAGCAGTAACACTTCAGGTTAGCACAGAAACAAGAAAGACTGAGGAATCAGGGGTTCCCTACACAGGGTCAGAAAGAACCTGTCCTTTGAACTGGGGGCAAGGAGCAGACCACAGGCCATCTTGTTATATCGAAGACTGACCAAGCGCCAGGCTCACATTACAGGCCCAGAATTATCACTATTACTAGCATTTTCCTTGTCATTCAGGACATGTTTTCACAACATTAAAATGGATGACAGCAGAACTCTGAGCTCAGAGACCTACAGGGCTCCTCTGTTGCTGTTGAAGACATTTAATTATGAAATGCCATACTATCCACATGCATAAAATTAAAACAGATTACTAATTTCCCAGCAAGTGCCAAACCACATTAGTGAAATAAGTACCTTGGTCGCAGGCTCCTGGGAGCAGAGGAGTCAGGAGCATGTGGCTCTGAGAGTTCTGCACAAAGGATGACTTCATTTAAATTAAGACTCAGGCAACATCATTGTGAGCTGGGGCTGGGGGGGATACCAACATAGCCCAGTCCCACATAATGACTGCCTGGCCTAGTATTAAAGAGTAAGTAAAGACAACAAAGCAAGACAGAAGCCAGGCTCCCCGAGCCACGACACAGTACCTGTCTCGGTCTTGCTGGCGAAGCCCGCTGCCTGTTTGATGGCAGCTGCAGTGAGAGCTAATCCTCGACTCCTCTTCAAGCCATGCTGCAGGACGGCTTCAAATTGGGCACACAGACAGGTTACCCTGTGAGCGAGAGAAGCAGCAACTCGTCAGTACACCAGGGAGCACCAGGTGCAAACCTCAGGAGACACCTAGATTAACAGGCAGGGGTCTGGTAACTGACCTGGTATACTCCACCCACACACACTTATGTTCATTTCACATATCTCAGGGATGCCCCATGCCCAATGCCCAGGAACAGTGCTCAAGGAGCAGGGAAAAGGGAATGTGCCAGCCAACAGGTAGGGAATGCCAATTTAAAAGCAAATCCATTCATGTGAGCAGTGGCTGGGTGTTAACTGTATCCAGCTCACAAATTTCAACTCTACTTCATATCACATGAAGCTTAAGGAACATGATTACATTTTCAGAGACTGAATTCACCAGCCTGCCAAACTGGAAACATTGTGTAATTTCATGGCCTATTACTTACACTAAAAAAAAAAATCTGAATCTGATTCTTATTCTTTATTTTGTTACGAGATTACATTGTGAACTCAGATCCAAAGTTGACAGTTTTCAATTATGTACAATTGTTGTGCATTTAATTCAATTTATTTCTCAATAACCAAGGAAATGGCAGCATTGAGAACAAGTCTACAGAGATGAGATGCAGCAAGTAGACTGGATTTTCAGTGTCCTCCCAGGGCTCCTGGGCCCTGCGCAGTTGGGTCTTCAGACGTCAGAGCCCTTCCACAAACTCATACACTTGACACTAAGAAATCCTGAACATCTCCCATGTACCAGGCACTATTCTGCACTCGGGATACAAAAATGGGAATGACAGGCAAGGTCTCTATCTTACCACATTTGCACATTTGATTGGAGGGAGATGCACAAAAAAAACTAAAGCAACTACAAGAACATAAAGAAAACACAACAGCATAGCATGGTAGATGGAAAAAGGACAAGATCAAGCTTAGAGTCTGTGGCCTAAGTGGAAATAGCCTTGGAGTTATGACCTAATTATGGTAAAAGGCAGAAAATTTGGCCCAGTGCAAAGGCTCGGAGGCCACTATAGCAGGGAGAAGGACCAAAGGAAAAACAGACAGGCTGTGTTCTGATAATGAGGCAGGAGAAAGGGATGGCAAAGCAGAGAGATAAAACTTACAGAATTAAAACATGAAAATCACATAGCACTGGGGGAATGAAACAGCCAATGAAGTCATATGCAGCCATATATGGGTTGAGCTTTGCTTTTTGCTTCTGTAACCTGCTTACAAAGGTATATAAGGTAAGACCTCTTTATTCCCCAGGCTCAGCCTGTGGGCACGAGTCCTTTGAATCCATGCCAGCACAATAAAACATTGCTTCCTGCTAAACTGCCTCAGTGTCCTATATCTCAGATTGAGATTCCCACAACATTTCTTAGAGACTCGTCTGGGATTGTGGAGACAGTGATTTGTCACCTCCCTTGTCACTGGGGCACATCCCCTAGATTGCCAGGAGAAGATCCCACCAGGTGCCAATGGACAGGTTGATCCAGAGAAGAGACTCATCCTCCCAGAGAGTCAGGGTGAAGGCCTCAGATGCACAACTGAACTGGTGAGGCACAGGAACCAGGGAAGGGAGGGGAGCACCACTCATCAGATTGGTAAGAACTGGGTTCAAATTCAGACCTGCCTCAGGAGGCAAAAGGGGAGACTGATCACCTCCCAGAGACTGCTAGTAATTACCTTTTGGGGTGAAACTGTCTCTCAGGTTCAGGGAGCGGGGCAGAAGTACTGTACTGTGTGAAAGTATATGAGAGTATGAGCCTGAGATGCAGCCCAGCTGTGAAGCGAGTGACGAATCCTGATCCACGAGTCTGTGGCAGACTCATCATGTCAAGGGTGAGCCCTAACAGGGCCTCCAGTCTGGGGTTTATACTGACTCACTATGGCCAAAAAGACACCTAAATTCCCGCAAGGGGAGCATCCAGAGACAGCTGAAGCAAGTGTTCTTCCAAAACCCCTCCCACTTTGTGTCTGTTTTGCCGTCTGGTAACGGGAGGAGATGAGTGGAAATCAGAGTAAAAACACTTCCTTGGAGTGCATGGTTAAAAACTTTAAAAAGGGATGGGTAACAAAAATTCAGTTCCAAACAGGGAGACTCACAAGAGAATAGATGCATCATCCACCACTCCACTGGATAGCCCTCTGGCTACAATTTAAAAGTTTTTTCTTTTTTTGAGAGTGCACTCTAATTTTGTGTGTGTGTGTGTGTGTATGTCAATTTGTTTAAAGTACTGGGCAAAATTTAATTTGCTCCTGGAATTCCAGCTCACCTTATGTGCGCTTAAGTTGACATTTTTTCCTGGCATACTTAATTTATAAAACTTTTGCGTGTGTGTGTGTGTGTGTGTGTGTGTGTGTGTGTGTAAGCATCTTCAAAATGGTTCTTAAACTGCTGTTCTAAGGTTACTGTGATCTTCAAGATAACAAGAAAACAGGGTTTTTGTTTTAAATATCTCTATTATAAACAGCTTAAGCTTTTTACCTATGAGTATGTAAACATCTTGAGAACAGTTCTTATTATAGAGTCAATGTAAAAAATTATTATTCTGTCCTACTGCTACTTTTAAGAAAACAGGTTTTCAAACTTATTTCAATCAGATCTCACTAAGATTCAGCCATTCAGGGGTTAACACTCTGGCTTAAACCAGAGGAGGAAAAAAAAAAAGAAAAGAAAATGGAGTCCACAGCCAGCAACAGGAATCTGAAAATTTGGGTAGTAAAAAATGACCTTAGCCTGTTTCATTCTGTCATAAATAAAATCTGGGATTTAATTCTCTCGTATAATACATGGGTATATTAACAAATGGGCTTTCTATAAATTGTTTTTATACAAAAAATAATTTTAAGGTTGCTTTCTTTCTGATTTTTTCATACAAATACAAGACTAAGTTAAAAGATTTTATGCGTTATTTTCAACAAGTAACAAATATATATATATATATATATATATATATATATATATGTGATATTAAGGATACAGGGTTTTAAAATAAAAGGTTAAAAAACACTTTTAAATAAAAAAAGAATAAAGACAAGCTCCCCCAGAGGATACAAAATAAGTTGTCATAAAGATACAGAGTACATAAATGCCTATGTAAATGATTAAGTTGACCAAAATCCAGTTACATTAAAGGTTTTGTAAGGTCAAAATTTAATGTACTAATATTAAACTAAAACTTAATTCTCTCAGCTCATAACAAGACTATCTTTAAAATATTATATTGTTCTTAATAACATTTACAAAAACTGTCTTCAAATGATTTTTGTTTTGTCAAGATAACTGTCAGAAATTTTTGGTGCTACAGGTTAATCCTCAAATTTGTCCAAACAACAAGAGTTTATTAAAACACAGAGAGGCAAGAGGCAGCTGAGCACGGGGAGTACTGCTGCACCGATATAAGGGTTAAGACAGATTTACTTATGTAAAACAAAGTTAAAAAGAAAAAAACAAAAGACACTGTCTGGGAAAAAATAAAATAAAATGCCCACCCATTAAAACCCCATTAGAGGAGCCCTTTTGTTGTTGTCTTGTCTATCTCTACTACAGTTAAAAGTAACAAAAAAATTGCTCCCTGGATCCACCACAGCCGAGTAAAGCCAGCCTCTCCCGAGTGGGACCCTCACCATCCAAGATCACCCTCTTGGAGGAAAAGAACACCTGTGCCTTTCCTCTGCAGGACTCCGCTTCCCAGGAGACAACAGGGAACTAAGAGGTCGACAACCCTGCTCTAGTCACTCTGAAAGCTGACTAGTCTACACAAAGAGGAAGCTTAAACATGGGACATACCCCTGTTCTCCTCTACACACTTGGACTCTTTACCTTTTGGGTTGGCTCTTACAAGGTTTTTCCTATGTACTAAATGTTGTAAGAGAGTCATTGTTGGGACCTCTGAACAGCCATACTTTTATCATGCACCCACCAACAGGTCAGATAAATCGGCTCATGTACTCCCAGGTTAACGTGGTTGCTGATACTAAAAATCCCAGAGTAAAGAAAACAATACAGACTACATTTGTCACAAAAAGCAGGGCGATGGGTCTTATCCTAGAAGCATGCTTAATATTACCCTGCCTGGTCCCTCTGGTGTTGTGGACGATCAGGATCATTATAGAGGCCACTATAAAAAGGAAAACAGCCACACATCTGATGATGCTATGGAAAGACAAACCCCTAGATCAAGATGATGCTCTTTGATCCTCGGTGGGTCCGAGCATCAAAGGGGAATGATGTAGCAGGGAGGCAGGCCAAAAGAGAAACAGACAGGCTATGTTCTGATAATGAGGCAGGGGAAAGGGATGACAAGGCAGAGAGATAAAACTTACAGAATTAAAACATGAAGGTCACATAGCACTGAGGGAATGAAATAGCCAATGACGTCATATGCAGCCATATATGGGTTGAGCTTTGCTTTTTGTTTCTGTAACCTGCTTGCAAGGGTCTATAAGGTGAGACCTCTTTGTTCTTGGGCCTCAGCCTGTGGACACGAGTCTGCTGGGTCTGTGCTGGCACAATAAAACATTGCTTCCTGGTAAACTGCCTCCGTGTCCCGTATCTCAGCTTGAGATTCCCGCAACACCACCAATACCTGGCTCAACCTTGCCTAGCTACAAAGATGTCCTGTTTCACCCACCAGCACACCTATAATAATAATATTCTAATTGTTTGTTACTCCATAGGTAGTAAAACATTTTATGCCTCTCATCAATATTATGATACAGGTGATTTATGATACACCTGAAGAAACTGAGGCTTAAGAACTTTAAGTGACTTCCTGCAGACAGTGCATAATAAGTAGCAACATCTGTCCCCTAGGCCTGCTCACCCAGCACTGACCCATACACCCCACACTACCAAGATACAGTGTTCACTCCCGTAGCCAGTCTTTAGTTACTGGCTACAAATAGGAAGAAAGAGAAGGGAGGAAAAATGGAAGGAAGGGGAAGAAAGTCAACTCATTTGATCAAAATAGAAAATAAAAACATGTAAGACTAGGATGTAGCTCAGTGAGAGAGTGCTTGCCTAGCATG